TATTTGAAACAAGCAGTACCAAATAAACTCGCTATATTTTGCTCGTCATCTCGCTCCTCATCGTCAACATTTGATTGCGAAGAATTCAAGTGAACACCTATACATGTCGCTCGATTACGTTGTTAGAGCAGTCAACAATAGAGGAGATTGATGAATGACGAGGAGTTTGTGGTAGGGAATAGAAGTGACTCCGACACACTTTCAGTACAGAACAAAGGGCTTATTAAAAAAATAACGTAGTTTATCTAAAGGCGTGCGCAACACGTAACGAACGAGAATCACGAGAGATTCGACGTATATCGAGAGGGGAAGGCACCGCGTGTATCTTGATGTTTGTTCCGGTAGGTAGCGACACCGATCGCCGATCAGTGCCTGTTTGTTTGATTTAGTACTAGAGTAGTTCCTAAAAAACAGAGACGACGAATTGGGGACCACCCTGATTACATCCAAAAATGATATCGCTGATTTGACAGATCTCTGTGAAATATTTAATGAAGGTAATGAAGGTTAATGAAGTGAAATATTTAATCTACAATTACAAGGTGATAAATTGAATTCAATTAAAACAGGAAACGTTATTGCGGCTTTCATGGGGAGACTTCTCCTGTTCAAGCGGAATCTAAATCGAGGAGAATATACAGTGGCCCACAAAAGTGTTCATACACCTTCTAAAACGCAATAACTTTTTCACAACTGAACTAAACGCTTTGAATTTTGTTCTAAATGATAGAAGGACTAGTCTACTAGACGGTGGCTAAAAAACTTTTTATTTTATTTTGCAATTAGTTGGAATGAAAAGAAAAAGTTAAAAACCCTCATTTTTTGACTTTTTTATCTGAGTCTATAACGAAAATTTAGAAAATGCCTTTTGTAGATCTCAGGATCTCTCATCAATTTGATTCTATCAGAGTCGAGCTGCAAGCGTTGAAGGATTTTAAAAACTATAGATTTCTTAGTTTTTGGTCAAAATCGTGATAAAACTGCGATTTTTACGGTCTTTAATTTGTTGTAACTCACAACAACGTGAACCGATTTCGATAAAATTTTCAACATGTATATAAGTTACCGAGATCGACGAAAGACATTTTTTAAAGTTTCGTTATAGGTTCAGATAAAAATCTTAAAAAACGAGAGATTTTTATTCTTTTGTCATTCCAAGTAATAGCAAAATTAAAAGAAAAAACATTGCAAAAATTGTCTAGTAGATTAGTCCCTCTATCATCTAAAAAAAATTCAAATTATTTAATTCAGTTTTAAAGTAGCTATTGCGTTTTAAAAGGTGTACAAACACTTTTGTGGGCCACTGTATGTCACTTTTCAAATTCATCGATTGTATATTCTCCATGTTGATGTCAATGAGGGATTCAAGGATATTCTAAATCTAAACATAAATATATCAAATTAGGTTCTAGATCTTTTCTCACATGTAAATACAGCAGAATCATCTTTGGAAGTAGAACTCATAGAATTCACAACAAATGAAGAATCGAAAATAAAATTCAAGAGTGAATATCAAGAGTTCTGTCTTCAGAAATCAATATGTACTGATTTATGGTACCCTCGACCTCGACCTCGATTTGCAATAATACCCTCGATTATGGTAATAGCGCAGAAATTTTTAATCGCATTTCCATCCTATTTGGCTGAGCGTGGTTTTAGCGCTGTAGCGAATTTATTATCTAAGAAAAGGAACCGATTGCACTTGAGCATGGCGATTTACGACTGTTTTTAACGCATAGCTACCGAGTCGAGACAAGCGAGCAGCAATAAAACGTCGTGTACGCTTTGCGGACAGATATTTTCTCGACTTGTACGAATTTAGAATCGTTTCGACACTTTTTCTCCACAGTTATTTCTTCGAAAATGTTTATGGGGGTTTGCGAGCGCTGTACGGTGACCGGAGTTGAGCACGTTTCATTAGTCACAACTCATTTCCTCAAACGTGACTGCTTTCGTTGGTCATGTTCAGCAAAACTACCTTCGTTAGTCACAATTACATTTTAGTCGATATTTAATCATTTGTCATATTGAAACTCATTTTTTGCTTATATTTCCTCAGGGATCTTTATATTCAAATAAGACGCCTTTACAGTTTTTCATCTTGACCCTTTTCTCCTAAAAGATGAATCCGATATTTGGCCACCGTGTGGCTTGCGCGACACATCTAATAACAGAATTTAAAGATCCTTTGTGAGATGAATATACAAAGAAACTTCTCACCGAGCCTGACGCTAATTTCCAAACTTAGCATGATAGTGTTCAGCCGCGCAACTCTTGCCACACGATTTCTTGTATCTGTTTGTGACCTACTTTAATAAACTTCGAGTTAGCAAGAAGAAGACGGGTTATTTCTCGAGGGAACTGCATTCTTCCTCCTTCACGGTATAAGAGTACATATTACTCTTTTACTAACTCTAAGATGTAAGTTTTTACGTAAAGATGAGGTAACGACTCTATGAAAAGAACAATGGTTTAACTTTTTCAGTTTTAGTTTTTTTTTTACATAGACATATTTATGTAATATAATGGTGATATTTTTCTGATTAAAATGGGATCACGCATAACAAATTTTGAACCACGTTGTATTTATGAATATACATTGAGCAACTTAAACATGTAAAGGGTGTAGCTCGTATAACTTGCACACCCCAAACAATTTTAAAATAATTATAATAATTTAACTTTTAAATTATGCATATAATTAACAAATATTAAATACAAAAGTTGTGGAGGTTTAAGATGGGGCGGGGGTGATATTCTTCTTTTTTTAAATAGTGTAGTTTCCAAAATTTCAAGGACTTGCTTTTTAAGGATGGAGAAGCATATTTTGCTCATTATAGATCGAAAGAATATTAAATTTTAAGTAGGTAAATATAGACCTAAGGACTTTTCTGACGAGCCACGCGACTTACATCTTCCGATCGACTAATCTTAAAATATCGTAAACCATTGGGTTTAGCATCCATATATGTTTATACTTTTTACTTAAAAGTTAATAGTCTTTTAAACTACGATGATCTTTTCGTTTAAAAAAGGGAAGTTGGCGGTGGAATTTCGAAAATACGCTATTTACAAAAAGGTGAATATATATATGTATATCACGTGAACGTTCACTTTTACTGCACTATCACTAAACACTGATCACTTATTTAATAATAATTATGGACGAACTTGCTTGGACGTCACCATCGTATACAGATGAGGTGCGCAGTTCATCATACATTGTAGAAGGTCAATGCACTATCCTTCTGTACACCTATTCCGAGTATGAAGTGGATTTACAACTAAATGGATGATTTTCTTGTTAATAATATTTTTCACATTTCTCAAACAAACAAATCCTTTACGTTCTTTAACGGAGTTATGTATTAACACTATGCCGTCCGGCGACACCACAGTGGTGTCGCGCGCAAAGTATCGCTCGGCGGCCGGCAACACTGCAATGGTGTCGTGCGCACGGTATCGCCCGGTGGCCGACGACAACACTTTTGTATCCTTTGCATTCTCTCGATGATCCGTGGGGTTCTGTTGTTGCTTTTGTTCCGTACCGTCTCGGTACAGTATTTTTAGCATAAAGCTGTACAGCTTTACGTGGAATAAGTTACATACGTCAGCAAGTGTTTCTTTTTATGAGTACTTGTACCCATTTATCATGGCAGACGAAGGAGAAGACACTGTTATTTACGAGGAATGCGCGGACGACTTGTCCGACGTTCC